AGAATGTCCTTTCTCCCTGGAAATATAGAAGTTGTTTAAAGTCTGGTTGACCCCTTTTCACTGGACTGCAATTTATTTTTGCAGCATCTCCTTTAAAGTCCATTTTTTAGTGGCATTCCTCTCCGGAGTCGACATGTAGAAGTGGCAATCTTGCATCTCGGTTTTTACCCGGTGATTGATCGTTCAAGTTGTATATTCCTCAGTAAGGTTTTCCATTCCAAACAGGGGCACGTCACCCCAATTTCTATTTTTCAAATACTGTTGGTTTTGTGTGACAAGATACATACCAACAAATGAATCGAGAAGGGTTTGTATGTGACTAACGTGAAGATGTTCGTATAATGAGACCCAATTTCCCCAGTGGAACTATTCTTCTTTCCCTAATGGAGCAAGTGTCCTTTCTCTCTGGCGAGGTGTACATGAAGAATTCCAGTCATAACTCTTTCGTTACCAGTGGTAGAAGATTTTATTGAGGTATCCCCAACGGAGTTTCTATCTCGAGATGTTGTTTCTCCCCCAAGTGAGAATCTTTTACCTCCCAGCAATGTCATCCCCAGCATGGTCTGAGTAGAATTCTTTTTATTTAAGAATTTCTATATTCCCCCAATAGAAGTCATCTTTGTCAAAGGATTCCTATGCCAGAAGTTTCCATTCCCAGCAAAAATTTCCCTCTTTCCAGTAGAGGATAAAGAATTCATTCCCCGTGAAGTAGGGAGTTTGATCAGAATTCAAGTTTTTTCTCTGAACTACAATTTCATTTTTGTAGTATTCTCCCCAAGAAGTTACTTCCCCAGTGAGATCAATCGTTTAAACATTGATGATTTCAAATCTCGGTTCCCCATTGAAGTACAAATTGCTTTTTCTCCACAGAAGATCAGATGTGCCAGAATAATTGTCTAGAAGTTCTCTGTCTTCTCAGCAGCTGATTGTTGGCCTGTTTTCTTAATTCATTGCATCATTACATTGCATCATTACATGGAATCTACTAAAACGCGTAGCATTTCCATTGCATGGAGCATCACGCTATAAAAAAATGTTCAAACATGCATGAGTATAAGCCAATTGTGCCCACCTGTGGCAACCAGATTGTTATGCGCTCAGATTTGATTTACCTCCACAAGAAGCTTAGGGTAATTCTATTATGTTTCCCCAGCAGGGTGTGTTTGGATTCACCACCAGTCGGGTCTTTGGTATTTCTCCATTTCCCCAGTAAGTTTGTGGTTTGCATTTACCTTTGCAAGCCTTTGGTTATTTTACCCGCGTTTGCTTTGTCTTGAGTAAGAGTTGGCTTATAACCTTTCTTGCTTCTCAAGTGTTTGAGTATCCATACTTGGTGTGTGGTAATTCTAATAATTGCCACTCTTGAAGAATTAACACCTTGCCTTTGGCCTGAGGTATTTTTGTAATCCTTCTTATCGAAAGCCCAATGTGTTTTGGCAATCTTTGTTAGAGTCTACTTTGACCAATCTCTTTCTCTTGTAAAGTTCACCTTCTATCAGTGCTCTTTGAAGGTCCTGCTTAGTCGGTTCCTTGTTTTGGTTTATCCGCGTCAGTCGGGTCCTCCTTTCGTTAGCCTAACTAACTTTTTATGATTAAGAGTCTTTCAATATCTCTTCAAAGTCCAGTTGTCTGGCGCCCTTGTTTAGACGAATGCGCCCTTTTTATTGGGGCTTTCTTCGGTTTGTCTCATTCCTGTGTTCGCTAGCAATTCTAAACATTTGTTTCTTGATGATCAACTTCGCTCTAGTGTATCTAACTCTGACCAGATATGCATGCCTTTATCATTTGTTGAGAGTCCCCTTCGGCTGGTCTCTTTACAGTTGTAAGTTCGCCTTCGACCGACGTTCTTTTCTTAGGAATCTACCTTCGGCATAGTATTCCTGGATGAAGATTCCCCTTCAGCTGGTTTCTTTATCCTAAAGTCCACCTTCGGCTGGCATCCTTTAAAATCCACCTTCGGCTGGTACCATTTGTTGAGAGTCCCCTTCGGCTGGTCTCTTTGCAGTTGTAAGTTCGCCTTCGACCGGCGTTCTTTTCTTAGGAATCTACCTTCGGCATAGTATTCCTGGATGAAGATTCCCCTTCGACTGGTTTCTTTATCCTAAAGCCCACCTTCGGCTGGCATCCTTTAAAATCCATCTTCGGCTGGTATCATTTGTTGAGAGTCCCCTTCGGCTGGTCTCTTTGCAGTTGTAAGTTCGCCTTCGACCGACACCCTTTAAAGTCCACCTTCGGCTGGCATCCTTTAAAATCCCGCTTTGGCTGGTATCTTTCAAAACCCCGCTTCGGCTGGTATCATTTGTTAAAATCCACCTTCGGCTGGTACCATTTGTTGAGAGTCCCCTTCGGCTGGTCTCTTTGCAGTTGTAAGTTCGCCTTCGACCAGCGTTCTCTTATTGGGAATCTACCTTCGGCATAGTATTCCTCGATGAAGATTCCCCTTCGGCTGGTCTCTTTATCCTGAAGTCCACCTTCGGATGACATCCTTTAAAATCCCGCTTCGGCTAGTATCTCTCAAAACCCCGCTTCGGCTGGTATCATTTGTTAAAATCCATCGTCGACTGGTATCATTTGTCAGGAGTCCTATTTGTTGGTCTCTTCCCTCAGTAAGTTCACCTTCGATTGGTGTTTTCTTTGCAAGAGCTTTCTTTGGTCTGTCTCTTTCTTACGTATCCGATACCGACCACGAATATATATCTTTGATATCTCTGTTGTGCATATTCGATACCGACCACGGATATGTATCTTTGATATCTCTTTTGTGCGTATCCGATACCGACCACGGATATGTATCTTTGATATCTCTTTTGTGCGTATCCGATACCGACCACGGATATGTATCTTTGATATCTCTTTTGTGCGTATCCGATACCGACCACGGATATATATCTTTGATATCTCTTTTGTGCGTATCCGATACCGACCACGGATATGTATCTTTGATATCTCTTTTGTGCGTATCTGATACCAACCACGAATATGTATCTTTTCTATCTCTTTCTTACGTGTCCGATACCGACCACGGATATGTATTTTTGATGTCTCTTTCTTGCGTATCCGCTACCAACCCCGGATATGTGTCTCTGATACTTTTTTTCGTATGTCTGCTACAGACTTCAGGCATATATCTTTTGATATCTTTCTTACAGGTGTTTGTCACTAATTCCCAACAGAGTTCCTCGATAACCAAGTTATCCTTCGGTGTGTCAGACTCTGGTTAAACATACATCTAGCCATGATAATCCTTTTTACCTAAAAAAAAATATATATATATATATACAGAAAATACAGAAAACTAAAGATATAATAATACCTGACAGGCTTCGGAGCGCAAATTTTCGGGTTCTTTTAGTATTTAATCTTCTTTTACCTTGAAGGTTCGAAAGGCTGACGTCAATCTCACCTTCAGGTCTAAGGCGATTAAATAGGGGCAGTTGTTGCACCCCAAAATTAGCCCTCCTAATCTCTTTTATTTGGCTCAGACTTTTTGCATTCATCTGCATCATTCCAATGGGTCATTGGCATAGCACGCATTTTTCATAAAAATTGATCGCCTGAGGTTCAAAAGACCAGCAGTTAGGGAGCTAAAGTTTACAACTGATTTAAGGTGTATGTGTGAAATGAGCCTGATTATTCAGGGTCTCCCTGGTGTCAGCAAGTTGGGGAATTAGGGTTGTGGTTCATTCTCATTTTTTGGACTTCCTTTCCCTCAAGCAGCAAGGCTATTATTTTCTGATAAACAGCATGCTTAATGACTTTGACATGGCATTCATCCACTCTTCAATTAACCAATTCGGGTTTTGTCGAATCGGTTCAGAGAATCATTGGTTGTGAAGCTCGGGTTTTCTTTTGGTTCAGAGTGTTTATCAAACAAGACTGATTCTTCTGGTGCATTGAATTGTGAATTTAGGGTTTTTGATTGACGGTTGTTGTGGATTTCTTCTTTATCAAGCTACGAGGTTATTCTCTTCATCTCAAAAATCAAGTTGCAAGGTTTTATCTGTTAAGTCTGAAAATTTGGGTTTATTTCCCTATGTCTATTGGAAGATAATGCTTTGTTTCATTTCGAAGACATTTTGAATATTATTCTATCCATGTCTCAAGTCGTCACTGTGCACCTAATACAAGCAGGTTAAGGTTTTGCATTTTGTGTGTGAGTTTGTTGATGTTCATCAGTGAGGAATGATTAGAGAATATCCTTCTAAGCTTCAAATTTTATCTTCTTCAAGGATCCCACAAAGACATTTTTTGACAAAACAAAGGACTTGTGGGGTTGAATTGAAAAGTATGAGGTCATGGCATAAGGAATAGTACCATAGATTCATGTTGATCAAGGCCATTTTTGTTCTCATCATCGTTAGTTTTTGCTCACAATACAAGTCAATGTGGATTAGTAGTTTTAAGGATATCTTGGTTATACTTCTTCCATATTTCCATCTTCGTTACCAGCTCCTCAAAAGCATTATATTTGTGTGAGTCCGGTGGATCTTCATTCATCCGTTCTTTTGGCTGAAACACTTACTATTCTGATACTTGACGGTTGTACGAAGCTTAGGAGTGTTAAAGGCCGGAAACGTTTAAAGTTTTTTTAGAAAAGATCAGTGTCATTGGCTGCACAAGTCTCGAGGAATTTTCCGTCTCCTCGGATTTCATTGAAAACTTGGATTTAAGCAGTATAGAGATTCAAACACTTGACCTATCTATTGGGCTTCTTCGTAATCTTAAGTGGCTTAATCTTGAGAGTTCAAGACTTGAGTATATTCCAAAGGAGTTACCTAGCCTAACATCTATTAAGGAGCTTAGGACTTCTGGCAGTGGACTAAAAGTTAAGAAACACAGCATGATCGTCACCACCACCGAATAGAAGCAATCTCTGAAGGCAAAGTGTTTGAGTTATACTGTTTGACAATCAAATCAAGATCCATCTTTCTTCTTCTTCTGTCTTTTTCTTATTTCGAAACCCTAAACCCCCTTTTCATTCCGATCCGAGATCCAAGAAAATGGATGAAGAGTACGACGTCATCGTTTTGGGAACCGGTCTCAAGGAATGCATTCTCAATGGTCTTCTCTCTGTCGATGGCCTCAAGGTTCTTCACATGGATAGAAATGACTATTACGGAGGATAATCCACCTCTCTCAATCTTATTCAGCTTTGGAAGAAATTCAGAGGAGATGATACGCCTCCTCCACATTTGGGTTCTAGCAAAGACTATAATATTGACATGAACCCTAAGTTCATTGTGGCTAATGGCATGTTAGTGAGGGTTCTCATTCATACTGATGTTACCAAGTATCTCTATTTTAAAGCTGTGGATGGAAGTTTTGTCTTTAACAAAGCAAAGGTTCACAAAGTACCTTCAAATGATATGGAGGCCTTGAAATCTCCACTTATGGGGATATTTGAAAAAACGACGTGCGCGCAAGTTTTTCATTTATGTTCAAGATTATAATGAGAGTGGTCCTAAAACTCATGAGGGGCTGGACTTGACAAGAGTGACTACTAAGGACCTGATAGCAAAATTTGGCCTTGATGATAACACTGGATTTCATTGGTCATGCTTTGGCGCTTCATAGAGATGATCGCTACTTGAGTGAGCCAGCTCTGGACACTGAAGAGAATGAAATTATATGCAGAGTCTCTTGCACGATTTCAAGGGGGATCACCCTACATATACCCTTTGTATGGTTTAGGAGAGCTTCCCCAGGCATTTGCAAGGCTTAGTGCTGTTTATGGTGGTACATATATGGTGAACAAAACTGAATGCAAGGTAGAATTTGATGCTGAAGGAAAGGTTATTGGTGTCACATCTGAAGGGGAAACTGCCAAGTGCAAGAAAGTTGTTTGTGATCCATCATATTTTCCTGGCAAGGTGAGGAAGGTTGGAAAGGTTGCAAGAGCAATAGCCATCATGAGCCATCCGATCCCCAGCACCAATGACTCCCAATCAGTGCAAGTTATTCTCCCACAGAAGCAGTTGGGTCGAAAGTCAGACATGTACCTATTCTGTTGCTAGTATTCTCACAATGTTTGCCCAAAGGGAAAATATATTGCATTTGTATCAACTGAGGCAGAGACAGATCAGCCTGCTATTGAACTTAAACCTGGGATTGACCTTCTAGGACCTGTTGAGGAGATATTTTTTGATATGTACGATAGATATGAACCAGTCAATGAACCCACTCTAGACAACTGCTTTGTATCAACCAATTATGATTCTACCACACACTTTGAGTCAACAGTAGTGGATGTCTTCAACATGTATACATTGATAACCGGCAAGGTTCTCGACCTCTCTGTGGATCTTAGTGCCGCCAGCGCCGCAGAAGAGTAAAGAAAAAAAAATGATGATTTCCTTTGTGTTTGTTATGTGTTGCCAATGGAATCCTTACATTGGACTTTATGACAAATGTTAACAGTTTATAATAAGTTTATTATATAGATTGTTTTTGTTTTGGAAAAAGAATACTCTGAATACTCTAGAACAAATTTGTTTCCTTCCCATACCCAGATGCTCCCATGTGCGTAATACATTTGTTATCTTAGACATGTATGATGTGTGCACCAAAAAAAAGTTCAACTGGACTTAACTCATCCACAGAGAATAAAGTCATCAATAAGGAAGTAAAAGGCAAAGAAGAAGTTAAGACCGAAAATGCAGTGTCACTTTATATTTAATTAACAATTAGTTATGTATACAATTTCACTACAGTGTGGTGGATTATTAAATTGAAATGAAGACAACTTGAGTCAATATTATCAATTCACAAATTGTCAAGACTTGGGAATCACATTGATGCTTTAAGGGAGGTTGCTAAACTTCCATTTTTGCCTCTAGATCCTCGAGAACCTGATACTTCTGTTGAGGTGTTTGAAAATTTATCTCCTCATGTCCAAGCTTGTATACCAGACCTCTGACTCTGATGGATCGCTTCGTGCCTTGAGGGCTAAGACTTCCAGTTTTATTGCAAATAATGTAAAGAGGAATTGGCCTCGTAATTTGTATAAAAGATTTGCTTGAGCATTCAGGCTTGTCAGCAGATCAAAAATATGCAGTGGAGCTAATTGGAGGTGCTACCAGAGTGCCAAAGTTACAGGCTAAGCTTCAAGAGTTCCTTGGTAGAAAAGAACTTGATTGGCATCTTGATGCTGATGAAGCAATAGTTCTTGGTGCTGCCCTGCATGCTGCAAATATAAATGATGGAATCAGAAACATAACTACAAACTAACAAATAGTGCCAGCCCATTTCAAGGTCACATAACTGAATTTCAGTTTCAAAAAAACTAACTCTAAACAGTTACTAACTCCTAACCAATTCTATAACTAACTCCTTTTAACCCAACTAAACAACACTGCATAACTTCTAACAGGATTTTCTAACTGTCCTAATAAACTCCAAACAAACTCCTAACAAACTCTAAACAGTTTATAACCAAATCCCATCTTATAAACAATATAGCAGAAAATCTATATAACAGGGAGATTATGAATCAGTTTGAGGATCATGATTTATGATTCAACACACAGAAAATTTCTCAAGAAAATTCAGAAAAAGTTAGAGAAAAATTTACCTCTTTCATGATTCATTCTTCAGCATTCTGGAAAATCACCCAGAAATTTCTTCTCTCTTTCTCTGCAATAACCGCATCAACTTCAATCGTCATCAACCTCGGCAATTGAATCACCAACACATATTGATCATCTTTATTGCACATCATCAACTAGAAAGAAACCACATCTTCTTCATGTAGCTTCACTCATCTTTGTGATCTTCAAAACTCGTTTCATCGATCTTCTTGAATCAAGTCAGTGATTTGCATCCAGAACAACTCTAACACAATAACAATAACCGTTGCATTAACAAAGTCAACATCAATTTTCTTCTCCATCACATCGGAATAACTAACACAAAGAAGAAGAAGAAACATTGAGTAATCAAAGTACACATCATACCTGGAGATCAAAGCTTCTGGTCTTCCATTCATCTTCGTTAAATTTGAAGAGGCACCAGATATCTTTCCGCTTACGATACATAATCGAGGCAAGCGGTGTTCATCGAAGGTTCTGTGTTGAAGAGAGCGAATAGCAAAGCCGTGAGTGGAGGATGTGTGACGGCGTGTTTAACGGCAGCAGAAATCTGTGAAGAAGATGATGAACCGTGTCTAACCGTGTCTCATGCGGGTGTTGTTCGCCCTTGTTTAAAGTTGAAGACGAAGGCAAGTTCAAGCTAAAGCATATGGGACCTTGGAAGAAGAAATGAGATCGAGGTCAAAGGTGATGATGACCACGACGGCGAGAGATTGAAGAAGAACGAAACAGTAGCATCGAAGACAAAGGTGAGCGGAGCTTCGACACCGGAGTTTGATGTATGAATCGAAGAAGAGGAAAAGAGACGTGCGGCGCCACCAAGCTTTGTGAGAGAGATGAAGAGACGGATTTGTTCCTCAACCCTAAACCCCTTTTTTTAATTTCACATGTTTATTCCTTTTAGTTTTAATTATTTTATTGTTTTCCTTTTTTAAGTCAAATTAATAATAATGCTGGAAATTAGAGAAGAATGGGACTTGTTGGACAGGGCAACCCCTTCTTTTGGGTCCATTAAGAATTTTTGACAAAAACTTAAATAATTGAAAGAAGGAAAAAACGCTTATGGGCTTTTCAGCATGGGCCAGCATTATTCACACTACTATTTCAGTCCTCACACCACTTGTTTCATGTTAATTTCATCATAATCCTTTGATTTTCTAGCAATTAACATTGATACTTCCTCCCATGATTTTTTGCTGGAATTTTGTGTGGGTATTAATATGTTGATTCTTGACTTGATAATTTTTTTTTTCATAATTTTTCTATTGGTTTAGGAATTAATTGAATTAATGTTTGGTACATGATTAGAATTAGGACTTTAGCACATTCTTGGTGATTCTGTATCTTCGATTAAATTTCTTTGGTCTAATGAGTGGTTTAAGGGTTTCAACAGAGATTTCTCGTACCATGAGTCGTTAGCGGAGTATTTTTTTGCCTTGTATAAATCTTATATCTTCATGCAGGACTATCACATGATGATTCAGATCTTATTCGAAGTTTTCCAGGCTTCTCTGCTTTGCTTGTTGTATTACGAACTCTTATTCGCTTGGTATCTCCACAACCTCATTTTATTCCCCATTCTCGTACTTTATTGCTTTTCTAGAAATCAGGAGAAACAGGACTTTACTGCAAGCTATGCATGCGAACATCAGGTAGAATTTCTTTGAAACATATAACTTTAGGTCTAATACACAATAACATTAGGTTTAGAAATAGACTAGTCTCCCTGTGACTTTTCTTTCCCTTTTGCATTCGCACTGAAACTAAAACCTTTTTTTTTTCTTTTCAAACTTCAAAATACTAAAAATTTACTGACGAGAATCATATCTTCGTTAAGTCTGTGAGACGATAAGCGGGTCTCTTCTCCACCTTATTGTTCTCTTATTCTAAGCTTTGGCGTGGTTCAAGTCTCAAAGAACATTTCATGAATAAGTGGGTAAATGACTAAAATCTCTCCCTTGAGATTAACTAGTCATTCTCTACAAGCGAAAAACACCAACAAACATAAAAATCTTTTGCCTTCGGGCCTTTCTTTCAAACCCTTTTTCAAAAGAGCGTATTAAATCACTTTTGTGCTGACGCGTAAGTCTCCAAAGGTCGAGTTGCGGCAGAAGGAGAAATTACTATCGTTCATTACAAAAACAAACAAGTTCAAACCTTTTTGTGCATCCAGGCACATTTCTTCCCAAACTTTTCAAGAGAGCATGTTAATCCACTTTTGTGCTGACGCGTAAATCTCCAAAGGTCGAGTTGCGGCAGAAGGCGAGATTAATACTGTTCGTTAAAGAAAATACAAACAAACAAAAACACATAAGCCGAACTACGGCTGCTCTGATTCCTTAAAAGGGATACGTAGGCATTGGGGTAGGGCCCAAGCGAGCACAATTTTATTTTCCCTACATTTTTCTCTCCTTTCTTTCGCACGCATTCTTCCAGTAGTATAGTAAACAGTAAGCATAGATGAAACACACCCATAAGATAGATAACAAGAGTGGATACCATAGAGTACTACGGGCGTGTGGGGTGCTAATACCTTCCCCTCGCGTAACAGACTCCCTTACCCTTATCTCTCGGTCGCAAGACCTTGATTTCACCCTTCTCAGGTTTCCTCGATGTTTACCTTTCCCTTCATGTGTGATGAAATACGTTCGATGGCGACTTCATTGTTTGATGATTTTCAGCCGGTTGTTTCAGTCATTTGCATGCTATGCTTTGTAGTATATATAGAGAATGGAAAGGGCGAGCAAAAAGATGGAAATGAATCAAGCCATGAAGGCTCTCATCAAATGACATCAAAATTTTTGAATTCTTTCCACTTTTGTTATGTTTATTGCCTTTTGAAGTTTGCAATGAACCTGGTCATGTTTTACAGGCCATGAAATGATGTAATGGGCCTGCAAAGGGCTGAATTCAACAAGCCCAAAGCTTACACATTATTTTCATTTTTATTGGATTTTATTTAATTTTTTAATGAATAAAATTCAAATAAAAACAATCAAAGTCAAAAAATGTATGAATACTTTTTATATGTCCTCTAAGGTGTTGTGAGTATGTTTGAACATCAAAAACTAGGCTCACTAGTTCAAAATTACAATTTTGCTTAATTTGCATTTCATGACTTTCTTCAAAATTTCCCAACTTGTGGAACTCATAACTTTCTCAATTTGTATCTTTTGAAGATGATCTTTGACTTTTTGGAAATCTCAAGATGTCTTCTACAATCTCTATGTTGATCATTTTTGCATTTGGAGATATTATCTTGATGTAAGTTGCCTTGACAAAAAGTGTCTTTTGTGGACTTTTGAAAATGACCTATAATGTTTTAGCTCATATCTTTCAAATGAAGCATTTTTTGGACTTGAGCATGAAAACAAAGACGTAGGGAATTGAATTTTCTTCAAAATAAGCTTTTATTGAGGAAAAGTTGATGAAGTATATGAAATTTATGCCTGGTCAAAGTTCAGTTGACTTCTCATAAGGAAACCTTAATTTGTCAATTCTTGACTTTTGATGATTTGAGAGCTTTCCTTGGGGAATCATGATCAAACCTTGATAAAATGATGAATATCACTTCAAAATGTTGATTTTGGAAAAAATCTTGAAGTTTGACTGTATGTTGACCTTTTTCTCAATACAGTTGATTTTCAATCATCTGAGCCATTGTTTGAGCAAACTTGTGATGTAGGACTTGAAACTTTATATTCACATTGTTGGAGACCTATGATAATTCATGAGAACCATTTGAG